CAGGAAGAAATTGTGGGGTCTACTTTAGCAAATCATTAGAAACTCTGTGGACCACAACAGTCTGATTCATAACTGGTCACAAGGATGACAGGAGACTGACTAGGTAGGAGTTGGTTAGCTTTGAGGTGAGGACCAACTCAATAGCAGCTATGTACAGGATGAGAGGGAAAGACCTGGGTGAACGCAAAAGTGGAACTTAGCCCAGGGTTACAGCTTTTCCACATTTTGCTCAATTCTTCTCTCAGTATATATTTCTGTGTTCAGTTCTAGTTAATGGTGTTAATAAAGCCTGCTTTCTATCTAGCTCCTGATGAGTGTTTCAAGCATACACTTATTTTCATTTTAAATATGAAAAGCTTTACATTTTAGTCTTTATACTTCCATCAATAGATACTGATTGAGCACCTACATTATTGTTGTTATATGCTGGCAAGTCGCCTACAACTCATAGGAATCTTATGTACAATAGCTCTGAATTATGTCCTGTTTTGAGTCAATTTCAGCATCTCTGACACACCTAGCTCCATTACCCCAGTTACTGTGTCAGTCCATCTCATCCAGGGTCTTCTCCTACGCTATCCCTTCTCCATTCCAAGCATGATGTCCCAAAGTATGTGAAGACAGAACTTCAAAATCCTTGCCTCCAAGGAGCAAGCTGGTTTCATCCTCTCTAGGTCAGACCTGTTTGTTCTCTTGGAAAACCGTGGTACATTACTCTTCTCCAGAACCATAATTCAAAGGCATCGATTCTTCTTCTGTCATTCTCCACCTTTCAGATGCCTAGCAAGTAACTGTGAAAAACATTATTGTATCAGGTGTACCTTAGTCTCTAGAGTGACATCATTGCTCTTCAGAACTCTGGAGAGGTCCCTGACAGTAGACTTTTTTTAATGTAATTTGTCTTTTTATTTCCTTACTCCTGGTGTCAAGAGAGTTGACTACAAAACTAAGCAAACTGAAATTGTTAATGATCTCAATCTTTTATCTGTAATGGTGTTGTCAAATTGGTCCAGTGGTGAGAATTTTTGTTTTCTTGATATTGAACTTCAGTCCATATTGAATACTATAGTCCTTGACCTCCTGAAGAAAATGCGTCAGGTCCTCCTCTCAGTTTCAGAAAGCAAGACTGTGTCATCTGCGTAACACAGATTGCTGATGAGTCTTCCTCTAATTCTGATTCCACAATCCTCCTCACAGAGCCCAGTCCTCTGGATGATCTGTTCTGTGTATAGATAAAAAATGTACGGAGATCCTGTGCCCATTTTTCTATTGGATTATTTACCTTTATCTTGTTGTGGTGCTCAAGTATTTCATAAATTCTGGATATAAGTCCATCTGATATGTTTCACCGAAGACGACATTCAGATGGCTAACAAGCACATGAAGAAATGCTCAAAATCCCTAGCCCTAAGAGAGATGCAAATTAAAACAACTATGAGATATCATCTCACCCCAGTCAAAATAGCAAAATTTAACAGAACAGCAAGCAACAAATGCTGGCGAGGCTGTGGGGAAACTGGAACCCTGATTCACTGTTGGTGGGAGTGTAAAATGGTGCAACCCCTGTGGAAAGCAGTATGGCGCTTTCTCAAAAAGTTGCAAATAGAGATACCATTTGACCCAGCAATTCCACTACTGGGAATATACCCTGAAGAGACCAGAGCTGACATCCAAGCAGATATATGCACACCCATGTTTATTGCAGCTTTGTTCACAACAGCAAGGAGTTGGAAACAACCTAAGTGCCCATCAACAAACGAATGGCTAGAGAAGCTGTGGTATATTCGCACAATGGAATACTATGCTGCATTAAAAAACAAGGAACTCATGCAATATTATTCAAAATGGTTGACTCTGGAGAACATTATGCTGAGTGAAATATCCCAGTCACAAAAGGACAAATATTACATGATGCCACTGTTGTAGAATGGGACTGTCCTTGGGGTTGGGGAGAGACTGAGTAAGATGGGTTCAATAATGTATACTGCACTGAAACAGAGGAGGGAGAAAACTGTTTAAAAGAGATATATGACTAGGTATTTCTGTCATCACAGGAGTCTAAAGTGAGGGCTACATGGTGGAGGGGACCTGGGGGAGGGTTTGTAAAACAATGAAAGAATCCTTTCTTTTACTTTTCCATAATTTTTGACTCATGTACTTATAACTTGTTAGTCAAATTTGTGTCTTCTAGGTTGCAACACCCCCATGATACATCTTCAAGGATATGAACATGTACGGCCAAGCACAATCAATAAGAGTGCATCTAAATTCCAAAATCAATCTCCATAATAGTCCATGTGTTTCCTACTGCCAAAGGGGCCCTTTAGAGTAGTGAGAGAAGATCTTCACCCTGAAACCCACAGCGTCCCTTTTCAGCAGGAAGTAGCTAAGAGAATACGCCATCCCCTTTTCCTTATGACTCAGGGTGAAGTCTCTCTCAGGGAGGAGTGATAGGGAATGGCAAAGGACACACCGACAGAGGAGATTAATCAGAACTGACTTTGACAAGCACTGTGGCAACTGGACAATTAAAACAGACATTTGGATGGCGGGGAAGAAGAACAAACTGGGGAGGAGGGTGGAGAGAATGGTGCGGCAATGAAGGAGTGAAAGCCCAGAATCCCTGTGAATGTACATTGAAACTAATAAAATTTAATAATAAAAAAAAATGTACGGAGATGGGATACGTCTTTGACATGCATACACCTTTCCTGATTTTCAACCATGCAATGCTTACTTGCTCTGTTCTGATGACTCTATCCTTGTTATGTGCCATTGAGTCAGAACTGACTCATAACTGATCCTTTAGTGTGTTTTCAGACTATAAATCATACAAGAGGAAATTACTCATCTTCTTCCATGGAGCAGCTGGTGGATTCCAACCCCGTGCCTTTGGTTGCTAGTGCACTCCTTACCAGTAGGCTCTTGGAGCTCCCTAAACTTTATTCTAATCCCTGGAAATACAGAAGTAAAGAAGAGCAAAGTCTTTGTCTTCATAGAACTTAAATTCTAACAGGGGAAGTTAAAATTAAACACTAAGTTCATTAAGGGGAAACTGACAAGAAGATGAAATAATACTACACAGTCTAGGCATGAAAGAATCAAATCTTGGGCTTAGATGGTTCTTACACAAGATGAATGAATGTCTGACCATCTGTGGCCACTATCAACACCCTTCCTGAAGAGCTTCTTGGTAATAAATTGATATATAAACCTAACTATGGCTATCGGACTTTTCTAAAAGCTGAAAGAGCAATTTCCTTTTTCTGACCTAGAGTTTGTTGCACTGACAAATTCATACACACCCTTCTGTCTCCTAAGGGTTTCTATTTTTGTGACCTACAAATGTATTATTCCAAATTGAATGGAGGAACAAGTCTTTTCATACCCAGAGTCTCTAGCAACTTATAACAGTCTCACAATTTTGTTTTGTTTTTCCATTCTATATTCCTACTTTCCCTCCACTCTTACATCTCTAGTTACGCTCAAAGAATATTTCTTCCTTTGTGGACAGCTTTCCATACCTTTCTATAATAGCAGACTTATGCCAGGTAGTAGTACAAGATGTTTCTTGAATGGTAGTGAAAATATAGTAACAGTAACATGTCCTTTTCAAATTAGATAGTGAAGTTAAAGAATGCATAGGATTGCTGAGGGGAAGGACCTTTCTATAAGGAGAGAAAGGAGAAGGATTAAAGAAGCACACATTGACAGAAGGCTCTACCTACACCTTTTATCTGGAAAGGCACTAGGGGCTGGGTAGCTAGAGAACCTAGACAATGAAAATGCAAACATATCATACTGCAAGACCTTGGGAGAGAAACCTAACAGATATGAAACAGAAAAAGCTACAAGACAGGTTACTGTTAAGAGCTAAATGCTTTTTTGCACAAGTTCCCACCTCAGCCTCCAAGATTTGGACCAACACTTGTTCATGGTAGCTGAAGAAGTGAGTATGAATTGTAAATCCGCCCAAGAGAAGCAGCTCCTGAGTGTATGTAAACATTATCCTCCTTATGTGGATGGCAGTGAAGCAGTGGTACAATATACACTGAGATGCCACAGACACAGAGTTTCTGAAAGCAATAAATTTTCTACGTGTACCACAGCCTAATCGAATGCAATGTTCTCTGCACAGAACAGGAGAGTGCTATAAACATAGCTCCAAAGAACTGCATGGTTCAAACCTAAGCCTTCAGGAGAAAGTCAAGACTTCTAATAGGTTTACAGTCTCTATTCACTGTAGCTGGCAATTAAAAACTCCAATTAAGGGTCATGGTTTCCCGTTTAAATAGATGGCAATGAAGCTTATTAGGAGAGTTGACAGGAAGACTTCCAGACTACATTTCCTTGGTACCCAAAATGAGACAGAATCCAAAGAAGTGAGTGAAATGTGAAGATATCTGCCCACTGGTCCACAGACAACACAGAGCACCGTTATGGAAACAAATGTATTTCACTGTCCAAGTATCACCAGGATATTCCAATTATTGCTTCAAATGCCTACCTCCCCCTCAAAAACTTCTCCTTCCAGTATGCATTTTTCTACTAGATAATATCAGAAATTGAAACTGAGCTGAGGAGAGAAGATAATTTACTAGCTACAACTTTTGCTGAATTTGAACCACTTGCCCAAGCATTGATGTATGTGCTGGGCAAACATCTTCCACAGATTAAGAGAAGTCCCTAATTAGGATCCCCAACTTCTCTCCAGTGGCAAACACTTTTGTGCTTATAGAACTATTACAACTGTCTTATCAAGTGGCAAATCCCCTTCGCCCAAAAAAGCATGACTTGAAAATAACAAGACATCCTGGGTGCTCAGAAAGACAGTTGTCTGTCCCTCTGCTGAAAGGTAGCAGTGACTGTAATTAACAGGAAAGCAAGGGTGGAACTTGTACCGCTGTGTTTAGGGAGCCATGCAGTTGGAACTGGGACTATGTAGTAAAATAATGATGGCAGAGGGGAACTGGGTAAGAGAAATAAATAGATTTACTCACAGTCCTCGGAGGCGCAGCCAGATTTTCTCTATCTGTTCTGGTTGCAGGTATTTCAGGGAGTTGCTCTCAAATTCTTCGATCTCCTTGGTTGGTGACTCCATAACGGCAAGTTATCACTAGGGGTGAGTTTAAAAGAGTTTGCTTTGTCCCCTCCCTGCTAACTGTGGGTCTGGGTGATCCCCAGCCAGGCACTGGATGCCTCTGCCTTGCACCCTCTTCGTGCGCTCCCCCCTCCGTACTCCCCAAGCCTAGGTTTAGAGCAGGCTGGGATCATGCGAGATCCCCACTCCAGGTGCGCCCCCAGGGCAGCTGTGAGTACCAGGCATGGTCACAGGAAAATGCCCAGGGCTGACGGAAGCTATGCTGGGGCAAGCACTTTCACTTATTTTATAGCAAAACCAAGGAATCAGGGTGTAAATTGGAGGATGAGGAGGGAAGAGCGGAGAGCAGAGCGTAAAATAAGGGAAGCGAAAAGTGAGGAGGGAGGAGAAAGGTGAAGTCCAGCGGGGGGAGCTGTTCGAGGAGCTGCCAGCGTGGGGCTGGGGTTTGGCTGGAGGCCGCCCACACCCGCTGCGCTCCGCCCTGCGCCCCACTCGGCTTTTCCGCGTCTCCCCCGGCACCCCTCTCCCGCTGCTCTGCTGCCGCTGGTGCACCCCCTCTCTGCTTTCTTTCACTTACCAGCAGCTCTGCTGACAAGCAAGAAAACTGACAACTTGAGCGAAAAGTCCTCTGTCAGCGCTTGGGACCAGCGTCTGGTCTCACAGCGGGCGCACAGGGGGAAGGGTGCCCGAGCCTCTGTCCACCCCAAATGGACTCAAATCGGGTTCAGTACAGCAGACCCGCCACCTCCCCAGAGCACAGGCCCCCAGGCAGTGCGCTCATGGGACCCCCACCCACGAATCCACACCTAATTGCAACAGGACGCCAGGCACAGAGATCCAAGCAAGGAAACTGTTGTATCCTCCTGTCCTCCCGAGGGCTGGAGAGGCAAGAGCAGGAGCCGGGAGCCAGGCTCAGCGAGGTTCTGACTGGAGCTTTTATTTACTGCGCTCACCAGACGCCCGCAAGAGCCGGGTCCATTTTGAAATATTAAAGCAGTTGACAGGAACTAAAGTTGTCACACAACTCATTTGTAAAGTCCTCGTATTTCCTTGACTAATGGGAGTGTTTCTCTCTCTCTCTCTCTCTCTCTCTCTCTCTCTCTCTCACACACACACACACACCCTGTCTCTCTCACACCCCCCGTCTCTCTCTTACACACACATCTCTCTCTCTCTCACACACACACACAAACACACACATACACACACACCCCTTTGTGCAAAAAATGAAGAAACCAACTGCATGAGGAAGGAGGCTGATGAACTCCGTTCCCGCGGATGTATGCCACATACTCCTCAGAGGGGTCGCTGTTGGGTGAGTGAGTCCTTAAGGGATGGCTGGAGGTGGATGCTGAGAAGTGGCAAACAGTTTTGCTTCACAAAGCTGCAACTTACAGACCACCCAAAAAACTCTGCAGAAGGAGGACAGACTCCACAGCAACTAACAGCAACCACAAGGCATTTCAAGTGGTCCGAGTTAGCGGTAAGCAGCCAGCATGGAACTCCTTTATCTGAATACCAACCACCTTCCAGCTGTTCCGTGGGAGAAGGCTGGGCAAATCCTGTAAGATTTGCTGCCTCTGAAAACCCCCTGGAGGGTCAGTTATGGAGTCCATTCCAACTTAAAGACACACAAAACTAACAACCTACTCAGTGTGATTAAGAAGGGAGCAATGATCTATGGGAATGGGATACCAGGGGAACAAATATGTCAGTTATTGTTTGGAGGTTAAAGGAAAGAAGTATGGTTCCTTAGTGAAATGTTTCCATCTATTTATACCACTGGTAGATGGACGTAAGAATACAGAAGGATAGTAAAGATAATAATAACGATGGCAAACAGGTACTGGAAACTCTTTATGGCCTAAGCATTGTCCCGAGGATTCTCAGCCCACTCAACAACTTTCTCAGGTAGATTAGTCGGATTTTGCAATAGGAAAATAAGAAAACTAAAGCATCAGGAAGTTGTTATATAGACTTACCAGAAAGAGAAGTAAACTAGAGAAGCCTGGAGTTGGAATTGTTGTGTTCCATCAAGTCGAAAGTGACCTACAGGTGGCCCTCCAGCAGTTTTTCAGGGGCAGTTGATGGCACAGGAGGAGATTGCCCATCCTCCTGCCAAATAGCTGGTGGATTTGAACTACTTAGAGTCTGAGTTACAATTCTTCAGCTAATCTGAGGTAAATGTGTCTACCCTCCACAGTTTTTCACAAAGGAGAACATTTAGGAAAATTAAAAAAGTTCTTACATCCCTTCCACCTTCACAATTCTATGAGGACATGTAGAGAGAGTTGGGGAAAGGAAATGCTGAAAATTGAGAAGGATATTGCTGAGTATGCACTTTAACTACATCATAGTTTCTTTAAGAGCTAGCCAAGGATGAAAGATTAAAATGATAAAGAATTAAATACATACACTATGCTTATGACTCTGCTCTAGCATTTGTGGGATTTTGATTGTCAGAGAAAAGTGTATTTTGGAAGGAAAAAGGGGACCATTTTTCTACTACAATTAAGAAAATCAAATAGGGAACATAAAGAATATATATGCATAAAGTTGTGCTACCAACTAAAGGCACACAGTTTAAATCCATCAGCTGTTCTTTGGGGGGAAATTGGACAATCTCCTCCAAAGCAATTTATAGCCTCTGAAAATCTACTGGGCAGTAAGCCATGAGTGGGCTCCAACTCAGTGGCACATAGCAACAACACACATATTATCTTAATATATATGCTGATGACACTTAAGCTATGTGAGACTAGTACTGTTACATTTTGGAGGCTTGTACAACCCTCGTCAATTTATTCCACTTAGGTAATCTGGGTTTGCTGTGATGCCAAACCTTGCTTCATTGGGGTATCAAATACCATAATGGTTTACCAATTTGTTTGGTGGAGCTCCCAGTTGTAGGACAGGTTTGGAAGGAGGAGTGGCATCCACTTCCTAAACCACATGCCTATGAAAACTCTATGAACTTGGAGAAACTACGATAGTTAGAGAAAGGCATTATGTCTTCTGTTCATAGAGTCGTTGTGAGTCACCCTCAAATCAATGGCAATCAACAACAACAATATAGAAATATATGGCCTAGTATACAGATGTTTATTCATATATATCTTTTTTATATATATTGTTATGTACCACCAAGTCAGAACTGACCCATAGCTGACCCTCCTGTGGGATCTCAGAGGCAGTAAATCTCAGGAGAGAAGACTGCTCATCTTTCTCTTGCAGTGGATTCGAACCACATGCCTTCAGATTGAGAGCACAGCTCCTTACCACTATGCCAAGATGGGTCTGACATATGATTTTGTTTCATTATATTAAAATGTTCAATACCAGAGACATCTCAGAAAGTTCATAGGAACGTAAATTTGCTGTCATAATACTTAGGGAGCTGAAAGACATCTTAAGGATAATCTAGATTACAGGTTTTCAAATTGTCTAAGGAACAGAATCTTTTATTTCAAATAAAGTCTTATAAAAAAATTCCTTCCAAGGCATATACCAGCTAGAAAAAAAAATAAATAAAAGTAGAACTTCTCTGTTTGAACAGGGAAAGAGAATAGTCGGTCATCAAGGAAGGAACTCATGTCTGCCTTCCTTCCACTGAATCTCTGAGTACTCAGCCAGCCCTCCCACTTCACAGATAAGAAAACTGAGGTCAAAATCCTGCCAACTAACTTAGAAATCCTTGCTCTTAATTCACGGTTATTTTAAACCACATGAGAAGATAAACTTGTCTTCTTTCTATCAGGAAAATATTACTGGTTTTAGACACATATGTGTGTCACTCAGATTTTGTTCTTTTAATCCATCACTGGCAGGCAGAATAGACTAGACAATTACAGTAACACTACAAACTATGATTTTTAGTGACATTCTGCTCAGAGCCAAGCAAAACAAATGCAAGCTCACCAGGAAATACGAGGTCTAAGAAAACACAAAGCCACGTATAACTTCACTTTGAACGTTAATTTCTATTATGACTTTTCTAAATCAACTTTTAAAATAAAATTCTAGAAAATCTCACATGGTAAAGTATCACGAAATACATATATGTGCATAAATACATATGCATATCTACAAATACAACTATTCATTGAAAATATTTTCCAAATGTTGTTAAGATAAATTAGGTTATATACTAGCACACCACAGCACTCTCACTATTTGAACACAGAAAGAAATATATTGTCATTGAGTCAATGATAACCCACACTAATCCTATGGGATGGAATGGAATTCACATACAGGTTTTCTAAGACTGTAAGTCTTTATGAGAGTAGATGGCCACATCTTTCTCCCATAAAAGAGCTCATGAGTTTGGGCTGGTTAGCAGGCAAGTGTTTTAACCACTCTACTATTACCAGAGCGCTTACTCCTTGCCATTCAGTCACAGTGAACTCTCACAGTGTTTCCCAAGCTGTGTTAGGTATTTATATACTAATATGAATGGGAATTGATTGTCCATCTTTCTCCCAAGGAGCCAACAGTGAATTCGGATCACAAGTGTGCTTGCGGTCTTTTGCTTAGCGGAACAACTTACTTCAAACTCCACCACCAGATAGGCTTCCCCATTCATGAAACAAAGTGCTCACAAAGTTCAAGGAGAAACTGGATGACATTCAGATGAGGGAGTGGAAATCAGGTTTTATAGGCATTGGAGTGACCTCTCAGGTCTTTTTATCCCTAAGATTTCATGATTCAGCACTTGTCACAATACCACACCAATAACCTCTACCGGTTACCAGGAACTACCTAGGGCCACATACCAAGCACATCACAGGCAGGATCCTCAACAAAAACACTTAAGAATGGTTTTTCATCTTCATATACCAGGCCGCTAATGGAAAGGTTATGAGTCTGAACTCACCCAAGAGATCCATGGGAGGATGACAAAGCTTTAATAAAGGTTATAGGGAGCAAAACTCACTATAGTGATCCTGCCACATTAGGTCTCTATTTGTTGGAATCAACTCACTGACAGCATTTAAAACC